ACTTAAGATTGAAAAGAAATAATTCTTGAGGGCTTAATTGATCCCTCTCACAATCTTCTATTTATAAGAATAAATTGATACACAAATACATGATAAATAGGGTAACCCTAGACACAATATAATCATGATAAATAGGGTAATCCTAGACACAATATAATCATGATAAATAGGGTAACCCTTGACACACTATAATGATGATAAAATAGGATAAATATCCTAACAGTATCACTGTGGGAGACGGGGATGTAGCTGGGTTGAAGCACGGTCTGTCGGGTTGGGGCATGGTCGGCTAGGTTGTGACATGGTCAGCCGGGTTGGAGCATTGTTGGTCGGGTTGGAGCACAGTCGCCGGGTTGGAGCATAGTCGACCAAGGGTTGGAGGGGTGAATGAAGCGCGGTGGTCGCCGGGTCTACATCGTGGTGGTCACTGGAGGAAAAGGATGCTCGGTGACAAAGAAAAGGGGCATATTGTGGCCGACGGTGGACAAAGCAGCAGACAGTGGACAATCAAGTAGCCCTTCATATTGCCTCCAATCTAGTGTTTTTGGGGGAACCAAACATAAAAATTGATTGTCATACGGTTAAGTAGTAGTTGTTGTTTAAGGAACTTAGTAATGGACTTATTAGTGCCAATAACCATCTCTTAAGCATTCTAACCAAGTCTTTTAGAGGGTCTAGAATTCAGTTTATATGTTCTAAAAGCTTGGTGCATACAATTTCTATGCTTCGACTTGAGGGGGATGTTAAAATAGTTTATTTGTTGTACAGCTCTTGTAAAAAACTGCTTTTGGATGTACATAGCTTAAGGTTAATAGTCATGGCTATAACCTTTTACTTTGATATATACTTGTACTCACTGTTTTTATACACAAACACAATCAGCTCAGACAACATTTAGTGATTTTTTGGTCGTTCTCTAAATTTGAGAATGTTGAAAATACATTTACTTGTGCTTGATGAAAATTTGCTCTAATTGAATGCCATGAAACAATTATCCTAAAACCCTAAATCCTAAACATAAAAGTTTAAGCTGAAACACATGAATTTCTTTATATTATTTCATTCTTGACCTCTCATGCAAGAGTCCTTTGTGCTTGAAACATGAACAATGTGCAAGCCACCTACCTGGTGCTAAAATTAAACTTTCTTATTAAAATAATGAGGATGACATGGATTGAAACACTAGACCACTTGGTTGTGGAGGCTTTGATACTCTTTCATGAATGAAGTATTCTTAAAGCTTTATTTTTTCGCTGAATATAGAAAGATGGGTTTTTATTCATTTCTTGCAGAATTGTTTCTGTTGAGCATTTTAGCCTTTATTTTACATCTGTTGGTTACTAGGTTCTCATCACTTGATATTTCTTGAATTGAGATGTGGATATGTTCTTTTCCAGGCATCCCAGCATGCAATTTTTCTCTTTGCCAGGATCCCACAAATATGGCAAAACTTTTCTGTAAGTTGAAAACATATTACCTATTCAATGTTCCTGCTATATTGGACAAAAATGCCTAGTTGTCATCAGATTTACAAACTTATTTTAAGTACTTGCACTCAAAACAATATTTGATTCTGCAGTCAGAATGTCTACTTAAATGGGTTCTTTCACTCTACTTCATGATGGCTTACTTGACACTAAAATACATGAAAGAAACTTTGTTTCCGAGTATATGCTATAACTGCTTATGTTTTTAAAAGAACCATTTGCTTTTTTGACTTGTGTGTAATGGGAGTCTAGGATGCCTTGAACCCTGTTATAGTTATGCTGAATTTTTCCATATTATGATTCTACATTCCTTAAAGTTTCTTTTTTGTCTACAATTTTTCGTTTCATGAATTATGATGACTCTTTGTTTCACCAGCCTTATTCTTCATTGATAACTTACTATGTTTGAGCAGAATAAAAGTACTGGGGAACTCAGCTTCTTAACTTCTTTTATGAATTTTGCTGGTTCAATGGGTAAGCCATTGTGATTTCAGTAAAGTTTTGGTGAGTTTCCGTTTGTTTTTGCAGACTAATATATTTGTTTTGTTTATTGCAGTTAGAGTATTCACAACTATCCAAGAAAATGCACCAAACAGTGGTAAGTTGATGCTTAATTTGTTTTCGTCTTCTTGACTTGTTGCTGTCATTGTCAATGAATGTTAACTTAGTGTTTTGGTGCTAAAAGTAGTGTTTATTTGTTTTACTTTTGAGGATCTTAGAGCATGCTCTATACAAATCTTAAAATAAGAAAAAAGCAAGGTGTAGTTTTGGGTGTAGCGCTTGCAGTTTTTATGGTTAGATGTTGACAATAAACAAAGATGGTGTATGTAATTAAGTGGTCAACATCAAAGCAAGTGCTTAAACGTTGTGTTTTTTTTAAAAGAGTTTGAAAACATCTCCCATGTGTGTATTTCCCCCCCTTATCTGAGACTGTTAATTTTGCTTTAGAAAATAAGAGATAAAAACAACTAAACTACTGTTTTGTATCTAAAGACTACATTAATGGAGTGCTAGGATTGGAATCCTTTTTTTCTTAGAAATATGACACTTTTATTTTCAAATAAGGTACATGGTTCTTTGTAAGCAAGACAATACGTTGATTTTCCCAAGGATGGTAGCACATCGTAATAATATATACTATGAAGACATAGTTCATAGGTCTCTTGGATGATCAGTGAATAAGAAGGGTAGAGATCTCGAGAACTCGAGCACACTACAGACTTGCTTTTCTTAAGCCTTAACGAGCACTAGATTCAAATTCCATGTTTTAAATCTTTTATGGAGTTGAATTAAGCTTAAAGTTCATTTCTTAACATGGTATCAGAAACAAGTTATAGTCTATACTAGCGAGATTTGTGTTTGTTGAACATATTATTTCACTCACTATTCATTAATGTCTAATCTCAAGACGTAGATATCTCAACATGAGATGGTGTGTTAGAAGTTCTACATTGACTAGAAATAAGACTAATTTAGAGTATATATATGTAGATGCAAACCTCCTTTTATCAGTCGATTTTGTGAGGTTGAATTAGACTTAAAATCTCTTTTTTAAATATTGTTTTGTGACGTGGAAGTCCTAATACTACTACAGCGAAAATGGTGACTTTTCAATAGTTTCCTTTGTTAATATTGAAGCCACCTATGAATAGTTTCTGTTGGAAGTCCAAATCGACTAGAGATAAGGCCAATCTATAATAGATAAGTGGGTGTAAACCTTACCTTACAAGCCGGTTTTGTGGGGTTGAGTTAGGTTTAAGTCCACTTCTTAACATGGTATCAGAGCCTGGTTAAAGCCTATCCTAGCGATATTTGTTGTTTGTTGGACATGTTCCACCCGCTATCGGGCCGTTATCGGACCAAGCATTAATGTCTAGTCTCACGCTCGAGATGATGTCTATACCTCGGCGTGAGGGGAGTGTTGGAAATCCCACATCGACTAGAGATAAGGCTAATTTATAATATATATAAGTGGGTACAAACCTCATTTTATATACCGGTTTTGGGGGATTGATTTAGACTTAAGTCCACTTCTTAACAGTTTTCATTATTTTTTTTACATAAAATAGAACATATCTTTCTTTCGAAAATCATGTCTTCGGTCTCCTTGACTTGATACTAACAAAATTATGTCATTGACATTTTTGGTCTGTATAGCAGTGTTATTTTAAATGTCTTCCTGTACTATTTCCTATCATTGTGACTTTTTCTTAATTTTTTTGAAGTTCTCTTGGGCTATGCAATTGGTGTCGCAACAAATTTTACCATCCTAAGTCAGATAATATTATACCAAAAACCCCAGGTCGAAAAGGAGAAGAAAACCAAGTAATAGAACCGCATCGAGTTGTGTATATCTTCAATCTACTCATCAAACGTCTTGTTTCAAGTTTATACTGCTGATATATTAAGGTAACCATTAATTCCAAAAGTAACAACTGATTATTATCTTTTACTTTGGATCCTGAGACACTCTTGCTTAATTATTTTATCGTTATTTATCAAAGCTAAAATTTAAAGGATACGTCCAGGTTCTTTGTAAGAAAATTTTATCATGATTTGTTTGCCTTAGTTCTACTCTTCTATAATCATAAAATCTTAAGAATCTCGTCATGATTGCAAATCTTGGTTCTTTTTTTAGTGATAAAATGTTGGGTAAAACAAAACCGTTTCTCACCAAGGTCTTAATGTGCGACATTAAGTTGCCTTGAGATATCATATTGGAAGGTACATGAACTTCGGCTGAAGTACTTAAAAACTGCATTGGCCAAATCGCTTTGAGAATTGGCATTTACTTTAGTACCAAAAGAATTTAATTTTCTTTGCAGATTTTTCTCTATTTCATGCCAATCTATATGAAAGATGATACAGAGTAACTTTTCCTCATTTAAGCTTTTTCCTTTTATTATGGGTCAAATTTGGAACTGAAACGTTTAGTGAGAAACGGTAGCAACACAGCATATCCTATTGAATTTTGTTTAGAAGACTTGCTTAAAAATAAAAGTATTATTTTAACGTATATTCTATACAAGTGATATAAAGAGAGTTGTTAATAAATTGAGAACTTGTTTATATAAGTTATAATCTATTAGCATTAGTAAATTTCTTAATTAACTAGTGTGGAATATTTAAATTAAATTAATTTTTTACATGTTCTTGGCGTCACCTTTTGGAACTCAAACATTTTTGTAATTCACTTGTTTATCTAGTGTTTTTCGCTAGGGTAATTTTTAGAAAGTTTTAACTAAAAACAAAGTGTCTTTTGTGTAGTCTTTCATAGCTTATAATGGTAGGTTTGTTTGTGTTTAATTTCTAAAAATAAGTAATTTAAAGCCTATTTTAAGACGCAAATCAGGTTGCTTGTTTTAAATTGAAGTGTTTCTAAAACGAGTAGGATAAAAAGTAATTTATTTTAGCATTATAGGATTGCTTATTAAAAGAATAGAAAATTATTCATTTTATTAACTGATTGTACTAATACATAAAAAAATGGTAAATATGTTTATTTTATTAGAAAAGTTTATATCTAGCTTTTGAATAAGTTGTTTTTCTATATAATTGATTATTTTAGAGATAATTATTTTATGTTTAAACGAATTAATCTAATGTCACTCTGCAATATGCTGTTGATCTAGGCTTAAAGCAGTCAAGGCACTCAGAAAAAGCCAAGACGATCATACTCTCTTCTATTTGTTGGAAATCAATCATTCACTCATTAGTATGTTTTAAGCGAAAAACTTTCGGTAAAAAGATAAGATTGGTGTTATAATACAGATGAAAAGACTTCATTACTAAAGAAAGTTATTGGTCTCACTCAATAATCTCTACAGAAAAGAGTTCTTAACGTGGCTTCTTGTTAACTTTTGCACATTATAACGATCGGTAACAATCAAAACGTTTGACTTTAATGGTGACTTACATAAATTCATTAATGGTGGTAACCCTTCCCATAGGCAATCCTCATTTGCACTTTAGACTCTTTGTGAGCAACTTGATGTCATTGTAGCAACTTACTAATACTTAAGGTGAAATCCATCATTAGCACCATTTCAATCAAGTCAGACCAGAAAAAAAAATTGATTAGGACTAATCTCTCTTAAAAAAATGTAACACACAAAGTTGACTTTGCTTAGCATATTAAAGTTTTCTTCTTCCTCCCTCAATTAGAATCTCAACTCTAATGTTATAACTGAAAATTATGTAATAGGAAACTCATCTTTTTTTAATGAAAGGAAAACGTGAAATTTAAATGAAAACATAACCAAATTTAGTACCTCAAAATCTGTATCTACAAATACTCAACAAAATATTATTATTCAGCATATAATTTTTTTAACTAAAACGGAAAAGTATAGTATAATTTCTTTTATAAAAATTGCAAACTTTCTCATATAATTTTTCTGAAAAAAAAATACAAACCGATGCATAGTTATCCAAATCTCTCACATATTTAAGAAAATCGTTAAGTTGTGGTGACAACACTCAAATCCACTCTTTTATAGAATTGTGGTGATAATACTCAAATGAACTCTTCTTAGTTTTCTAATTTTCCTTTTCCATATTTTACTCGATGTAGAACTTTAGTATATAATCACTCGAGAACCAATTAATCGATATTACAAACCAATTAGCATAACAAGATTGATTTGATTTTAAACTCGTGAAATTTAATCCAGTTCCATAATAATTGGATTCAAATCGATTTTCTGTTGCATGCACCTTATATTTACGAAATATTATATTTGTACCTGGTCCATTTCGGACAACGACTCTTAATCTTAGAATGAGTGATATATTTAGATCTCAGAACTGGACTTGAGGTCCGAATAAATCCTAATTTTGTTTCATTTAATCCCTCAAAGACCTACAATCTCATTACTCTTAAATAAAAGATGAATTTGCACTGTTTCTAAGTCTATAAATAAATATATACAGTCACTTGAAAAATATACATTAAATGTTTTTAGCACTAGAAAAATATATACATTAAATGTTTTTAGCTTAAACCTACTTCAACATTTACAGTAACAATACCAATAACATCCATCCATTTTGAATGAAACGATCTTCACTAACTAAGAAAACGATTGGCCTCTCTCAATAATGCCCATAAAAAAAAAAATGAATACGTCTCATGGTATTGACTTCCTTCAATTTTACAGCAATAAACTTGTATACCTTTTTAACGAGTTGGTGATTAAATGCTTCAAAATAGAAAATAGAAAATGGGAATTGACATTATTGGAGCACAGAACCAACTTTTGGTAAGTCAACAAAGGCCTCTAACTTCTTTTCTGGTGTTGTCCTCATCCAGTTATGGACAAAAGCAAATGACTCAGGACTGAACATGATTTCTCATTGGGAATCACTTTTTTTTATCACTGAAACTAGAAGAATCGGCTGGTTTTGTATAAATTGTGAACCGTCGTGTGATCAATTTTATCGTTTGATTCGAGGAAGTTCATCAATATTTCTGAACCATTATTTTGACCACAACAATTGCCAAATCGGTTCACAATCCGACTTTTGTGACTAGACTAACCACAAATGGTAATGGCTTTCACGACGCGCTTCTGAAAATGGAACAGTTTTACTTTTCACCCTTGGTCGCTATCGTGTTCTGGCCTTCCAAGAATTTCCTTGTTCAGAAGTGACATCCAAACAAATTTCATACAATCATGTGCTTTATACTTTAAAGAATAGCAAAGAGTAAAACCTCTCTCTCACTTTTACGGAATAGATAAATCTAGGTATATGACTCCATCCTAACACAATTTGGGTGTGTTGGCACACACATGTCTGAATCACACGTTCTATTAGAAAAATTTATGAATTGAGAAGTTTAAAGAATGTTAAAGTTTGAATTCAAGTTAAACATTTAAAAGTAATTTTAGTCCAACAGCATCTTTCCTTCTCAATTTTGCATTCAAAATAACAAAAATGCTTTCTATAACTTTAATCCACACCTGAATTTTGTTGGCAGCAAAAACAAATCGTCCCTGATCAAGGCACGACGATAGGATCCAGTTCATCGCAAGTACACATTAAAGGACACCATTAAACTGTGTACATATGGTGATACAAGTATTCGAGAAATAGCACCAAGATGGGGGAAATATTTTGCGCCAGATAAATGGCAACAAAATGTACAAGATAAACATGAGTATAATAAATCTACATATTTTCCACAAACAGTATAATGAAATCAAAGAAAATCTTGAAACATAAATCAAGCCTGCAACGCATGGAGCCCAATAGACCTTTTTGCTAGCCCCATACTACGAATGACATCAGTCCCCTGGAGATTTTAATCTCAAATAGCACTGATTATATTATAAAATTGTATGAACAATTAGAAGGAAAAGATCAGAGGAAAGAGTACATCAAACAATAAGAACCAGCTTATTTGTCTGTCCTTCCAACTGTCAAATGGATGCAAGTAAAAGGTAAACTGCATGCTGCCGAAATCAGATCACCTCAAACTCATACAGAAGTATTGGATATATCGATATGGATACGAAGTTGCAGCCCCAAAAGCCAAGCAAATGTCATCAGCAAAATGAAAACATGTAAATACAAGAGAGCATTTTCTACATGCTAGCTTCCATTGTGTAATCGTCCAAGACATGCACAGAAAACAAAGCATATCCTCTGCCATCCACTGTCAAACATCTGACACAATACAATAGTTTGCACATAGAACACCAATCATGATCAGTTAATCACATAAGTCAGTCCTCATTATCCTCCAGGAAACTGCACTTGCTAACACACTACAGTTTTTTCCAACTCAATCAAATCCAGGAATTGAGTTGACACATTACTGTGGAACGCTAGGTAGTATGAATATGAATCAGACAAAACTCAAAAGAGAAATACTGTTCCAAAGATTCAAACAAGTAAACTAGTGACCAAGATTTTTATAATTCTAGTTTTTTTAATAGGTATATCATTATCTCGTATGTATAAATCATATGGATTTTATGGTATGCCTTGGGAGAGAATGAGGACACGTAACAGAGTTTACCAAACAAAGTAGACCACCATAGATGATTGGAGAGTGAGAGAGAGGGAGGGGGAGAGAGAGAGAATGTGACCGTCACTTCAACCGTGAAGCTTCAATTCCAAAAGCCAATAAACATCACACGGCATAAATTTCAAATTTAAGTACAGGACACATAACAATCAAATGATACAGCACAAAATAATGAAAATGGTCAAAGACTAAGGTTTTCTTTGGACCTGCCCCTAACCATGGCGTGCACTAGTGCTACCACCTGACCATCTCCTCAAAGTGTTAGCCACTATACTCCTCCCAGATAAAAGTCCTAACCTCGACTTGAACGAACTAGATCGGGCGGTGCTGCCCGATGTTGATGATGCTGCCGCAGCGATTTGGGCAGGCATTTGAGGGAACTCTAAACCATTTTCCTGTGCCCCTCCATCACTAGCACTAGCTTCCTGAAGTTCTGCCTCACCAGTATCTAAGTTAACAGCAACTGACCCTCTAGTCCTCCTCAACCA